CCCGAGAAGACTTGGCGGCTCTCGAAAAAGACTATGAAGAGGTCCTACTTTCAATATTTATCAAATATACAATCATAAATCTAACTTCGTTTTACAGGTGGGAATTGATGCATCAGATGGAGAAGAAGACGACGAATACAGTCAATATTAACGTCAATAAATTCTCCTGCTAAATATGCCCGACGGCAACGAATTCTACGTGATCATCACGAAAAAGCTTGTCTTATTCCGCCGTAAATAACCCGAATAAATAAATAAAAGATCCTTGGTGAGAATCAAACTGGCAAAGGGACTCAACTAACTATCTAATTTAACTATCTAAAGCACCGGGTATAAATGACATCTGGCTTGACCCATCGGTCAAAGAAAACGTGAAAGGTGGACAAGATAAATTAAGCGAAGCACAAAAAACGGCAACAATTTTAGCCAAAACAACCAACAAACCTGCAGCTGTGAGCCAGAAAAATGAGCCAATATTAGCCGAAAAACAATGTCGATACTTGACGTCACACTAAACTTTACTTGACCTAATACAGTGTGACAGGTTCATCGAAACTGTCATCACTATGAATTTCCTCCTCAGAATCCTCAATTTGAGGAGAATCTTCGTACAAATCATTTTCTTCTTGAAGAGAACTCCGTAACGAATTCTTGAAAGAGTTTTCCCTGGAAAACATCATAATCAAAAGCAAACGAGAGAATAATACATGCCTAATGTATCTTCCCGAAAACAATAGCTGCAAACTAAGCAGGTATTCATTACCTGGAAAGAGCCGTTCGATAAGCTGGATCAGTGGACAACTGATGGTCCCATAGGTCTCGACTCGTACTCCATGAAAATTTCCATGGCCTCGTGAGATAGCTCACCAGTCGATATTGGCTACCCGTTAATGCTGGCCTTATCATGGAGAGGTATGGCATATATCTGAAGTACAATTCTCACCGAATATCAGGAAGAGGATTGGCCAATATTACAGTTTTGACGAATCTCGCAACGATGCTGCATGAGTAAGTCGATTACAGCGAAATAAGCGTCACCAGTATTGAAATTTTCAGGGCCACTATATGGGCGGAGGTGGGTAAGGGTTGGTCTCGCATTCAGAAAAAAGGTCCACGCGTTTTCCGATCTTACTGGTCGAATTCGGCATCTATAAATCACTCTAAAGAGGGAAGACAGGACCAGCCCGAAGGGATCTTTAATCAAGAACTGGGCTAAGAAGCACATATGTGGTAACTGCACCATTTCCTACTCCCTAAACAGGGCCATATGCGAAGATTTTTTGCTATTCTCGGGGTGAGAGCGAAGGCGGTATGGTGGAAAGTGGCGCACTATCTCATACGCTTGGTCACGAGTTCGAATCAAGGATCGATAATCGCCTAGCCAACCAAACCGTCCATTCCTCCGGGTTCGGTTAATTGTTACTAGATTCGTCTGGGAGGATAAAAGCATTGACTCTTACATCGGCAAACCTCCGCTAGCACTGTATAGGCCACATACGTACTCAATACGCCTTTACGATTCTGAAAGGAAGTCAAATGCGAGGGCGCATCCCTCAAACGGTAATGATCAAAAACTTCATCCCTCATTCTCAGAGTGGGTGGAGCAAAATGTGCAATTAGCTTACACCCAGAATGGAAATCACGTACATTTCTGCAAAGCGTCCGTCAGACGAGCCAGGTAATCGCAATATTTCATTCAATTCACGTTTCAGTTGTGTTGTCTTCTCATCCAATACGCTCCACTGCGGACGCTTGTAAGCATAGAAACCGCGAGCTATCCCTTAAATAACACTATAAAATCGATTTTAAGCATTCCCAAAACTAGCTTGCTCACTATTTGCCTTGAAGTTGTAGAAAATTGTAGCGCGAGCGCATATCTGAAGATGAGCATTTCGAAAATCAAATGGATGCATTTACAAACCAAAAGCTAGCAAGGGAAAAGGATCGCATGAGGGAAACACCTGAGAAGAATACTCTTGGCTAATGTGGCGTGTCTCCCACATGTGCGACAACGCATCACTCACAGACATTGCATCGAGGACCTTCCGAGTGGAAGATATCGAACCAGAAAAATTCGGTTCATGCTCATACAAAAACATCATCACCTGAAAAAAATGATTAACAGAAATCCTCGAAAATTGTGGAAACACTTCTCACTGAATGATTACTTTCAGCATTCACCGTTTCTGCCGAGGCTCTCGACATTGAA